CGGCCATTGCACGGCCTAAGTGAAAAGGCAAGGATGATACCTTCTAAATGCCAAGGTGCCTAGGCAAGGTTGAGGCCTTTTGCAAGGCTGAGGTACCTAGGCGAGGATGTGGCCATTGTACGGCCGAAGTGACAAAGGCAAGGATAATGCCTTTGAAAGGCTAAGGTGCCATAGGCACGGTTGAGGCCTTTTTCAAGGTAGAGGTGCCTAGGCGATGATGCGGCCATTGTACAGCCTAAGTGAAAAGGCAAAGATGATGCCTTTGAAACGCCAAGGTGCCTAGGTAAGGTTGAGGCCTTTTGCAAGGTCGAAGTGAAAAGGCAAGAATGATGCCTTTGAAACGCCAAGTTACCTAGGGAAGGTTGAGGCCTTTTGTGTTGCATTATTTTGGATGATCTCCTTTAGAGATATCCCTTACTCTCAATGGATTCACTTCTTCATTGCTAGAGTTGATTGATCTAGAGTTGCAAGTTCCCTTTTCCCAAATAATGTAGACTTAATCTACAACTTCTACTTGTTCTTTCTTCAAGAACAAATCCCTTTTCAAGGGAGAATATCAACTGGATACTCGTGGTTAAAGTAAGTTCCCACAGATGGCCCCAATCTGTTGACCTCGAAAAATGGCTCGACATGTGGCCAACAGAAAATATCTTCAAGTCAGCTCTTTCTACACACGTGGCACATTGTTAGTCCTTTCCCGGAGGGGTTGGGAGCGGCCACAAGCACTCCAACGGTCAAGTCAGTTTGAAGTTCAACCGGAGAAGAGTTCACCAGTGGTAGAACACTTACCGGGAAGTGGTTGACAAAGTGTGTATCGAAAAATAATAATATTCGAGGGAAGAGAATACTTAATTTCATAATGTAGTGGTTGTTTGGTGAGTGTTGGATTCCAATTTTTCTTCAAGCATAAGGAGGGAGTATTTATATCAAGGATGGGGAGAAGAGAGCCGTTCGATGAGGAGACATGTGTTGCCAGATCTCCAGAGTTCGTCACATCCTAGGTATCAATCCATCCCTCCATAGGCTGGATGGCATTGAATGTTTCTGACAAGAGCAGCTGATTTTGACCGTTTGAGTCCTGCCACGCGTCCCATCAGTCAATGATTTGACTTTGAAAAGATCTTTATACAAGAGATCTTTGATGAGGTGAGGCAAGGCAGGTGAGGCGTTGTAGCGTTATAGAAGCGGAGTGTGGGCCTTTGCATCCACGGTGTAATTGCGGATGAGTTCAGTTCGTTCGTTGGCGCTTATTCAGTTCGTCCTTCACGTAATCACTTCGATGTGCGCACTCAGGTCGTCCTATCGGGTAATCACCTCAGCTGACGCGTGTTACGGTAGGGTAACCTCTGCTGACATGTGGCGTCGAGGTGGAGGGTTTGACACTACCTGTAATAAGTGCCATTCGAAGTGCGATCCCAAATGGAGTTGTTACTGAAAAGAAGAATGCCATTATAGCCTTCTTCATAAACCTGTACTCAGCCTGCAAACATGCACTAAGAAAACGATTTATGTATGATTAACCTGAAGAATGCAACCACCAGGTCCCATTCCTTCAAACATTTGGTGGAAGCAAAGTGCAGCTACAAGTCCTTTGATTGTGCAAATGTTGTTGGAGGCTCCAAGAGAAAGCCCTATCACTATTGAATGAACAATGATTCCAAACTCCAAAACCTGCCAAAATATTTCATCTTGCTAGTATTAATTATTTTGTTCTTTAATTANAACTCCAAAACCTGCCAAAATATTTCCTCTTGCTATTATTAATGATTTTGTTCTTTAATTATAAAAAATGTTTTCTATACATAACATCAAATAAATTAAAATTTGGAAAAATAGATTGTCATCCATAAAATTATATATAAAAAATTATTTCAAGTTAGGAACTAATGAAATATACCATTAATAAATTATTGAAAAACTAGAAGTTCGAGAAAATTTGTTAGTGATACCAGTGATTTCTAAGATAATGATGCTACTGAAGCACCATCGATGATTGAATCATGGAGCACATTGTCGTCAATAATTGCTGACGAATGTGTCAATGATAACTGATTGTATTGATGTGAACTATTTTTGTAAAATCACCAGCAAATATTTATTTTCATTAGAATACCAATAATAATAAAAGTTGAAAAAATAGATTATGCATCGGTAAGATTATAAATAAAAATAAAATACTATCTCGAGTTTTAAAAAGTAAAAAGTAAAGAAAGAATCATTGGCGATACCAAAAGCCTCTCCATCAATCATCAACAGAAGCCCTATCGGTTATTGTTGACGACATTCATGACATGAAGCTCTATTCTGATCGTTGTCACATGTTATAACCAATAATATTACTATAGATTATTTTCTTCGAATCATCGTATATTAACTTCTGTGAGAATCACCAACAATGATATCATTTTGTGATTACTGATGGAATTTTTTCGGAGACTATATACTTTATTAAATTACTTTACTATTACTTCTTAAAAGGTTTCCCTAAGAGATTTTGTCAAAGACCCCAAATTACTTGAGTATTGAGAGACAATACTGCAATAATAATCTTATTCCTTTCTGACCTTTTCTTTAATTAATGTTGAAAGGGCCAGAAGAATTAATCTAATAATAAACGGATCACTTGCTGTGCCGTCATCAAGCAAGTGTTTTCAAATGGTGAACAAGAACTCGACAGTTTCATTTCTATTTATTTGATTATAATTTTTCCCCATTATTGGTTTGACTTAAAATCAATTCTTGATGTTTAAGTTAATGCATGCCGCACCCATTGGTTAAACAAATGAAAAAGTCTTTATGTCTGTGTGTGGACGTGCGCGCACGTGTATGTATGTAATTGTTAGAGTACGAATTATGTTTGGTCCGGTCCAAAAAGTTCGCGGGCCAACTTTTGATTAAACCAAAATTTTTGAGGGTCTGTGGTGGTAGTGGAGGGATCGAGGACCTGCTTTATTATTGTCGCACCATATATATATATGGTGGATTTCTCCTACTCTGCTCGTGGTTATTTTTCGTCTGAGGTTTTGACATAAATATGTGTTCTTATTATTATTATTTATATATTGTGTATTCTCGTTTTTGTGCAATAATAATATTGATTTAGAAAATGACTAACCATAGCAATTACGCGGTAATGAAGAAGTTGTGAGCCCTCAACATCAAGTTTGGATCCATAGTGATGGTGACCATGAGAATGCCCTGTATGCACTACAGCCATTTCTTGATCTCCTTGAGTCTCAGGTAGAACTCCAGCCTTGTTTTTCTTAGAATAGATACTGGTTGCCATTGAGTCTACCATCAATGTAATTATGGCAGACAACATGGCAACAAATCCGGTAAAAGGGAACTTGTGCCATAGATTTTCCTTCAAGCAGCTGGATGACAACATGTCGAATGAATCTGGTAACAGGGGAGGACGCAGACTTCTTAAACATGGGGCCCACAATCAAACTTTCAAAAACTGATGAAAAAATTAAAGTAAAAGATATTTTATTACAATTGTTCTCCACGTGTTCACATATTGGAATAAAAGAAATCCTAGATTCTAGGAAATGAAACATAAGAGAAGGTTATGATTTGCATTCAACTTAAATGCAAAAGTGTTAGGATCAGTCAAATGAAAGAAAAAACTGAAGTTCCAAAACTCTGATGTGGTAATCAGATAGTTCAGTTATTTACACTAGACAATTCAATATTTCAAAATGACGGTTCTTTACTTTTATGATTGATCGACACATGTCTTAATCTTGTTTTTGTACACAAGCACATATTTATCAATGGGAACTAACTCCGTAGAAGAGTGCAAGGGAGATGTAAACACATCCTCAAAACCACAGGTGGAGAACTCAAGAAGTCATTGTGCTGCATTAATCATGAGGGGAGTTTAAACAAGGGAACAGCATAGGAAAAATTTCTTCTTTCTTTTTTTTTTTTTTTCCCATGGGGAGGGGAGGAAATAGGTTTTTGTTGTAGATGGAATGCATATTTTATAGCATTCTCAAACCAATGACCATTTCTTATTATAGGGAAATAGAAAAAGAATGAATAAATATATTTCAAAGTCATTCTCAGATTTTTTTTTTTTCATCTGTCAAAAATAACATTTACTGATTCTAGTTACTAACAACTAAGGCACCTTGTTGTTCCTTGTGACTCCAAATGAAGTAGCTAGATAACGGAGAGTGTCACTTCCAGCCATGGCATCCAATTGGTCCTCAGTCATGTTCTCAGTATATTGAACA